GCTCTCTCTCATCATTCTCATCCCATTCCCACCCCATTCCCACCCCATTCCCATCCCATTCCTCTGTGCTATTCCCACCCCATTCCCATTGGGAATTCTCCCCCGGCTCACGCTGATCTCCGCAGGGCTGATCCTCCATCTCTCTCCCATCATTCCCATCCCATTCCCATTCCCATCCCATTCCCACCCCATTCTCATCAGAAATTCCCCCGGCTCACTCACGCTGATCTCTGCGGGGCTGATCCTCCGTCTCTCTCCCATCCCATTCCCACCCCATTCCCGTTGGGAATTTCCCCCGGCTCACTCATGCTGATCTCCGCGGGGCTGATCCTCCGGCTCTCTCCCATCATTCCCATTCCATTCCCACCCCATTCCCATCCCATTCCCATTCCCATCCCATTCCCACCCCATTCCCGTCGGGAATTCTCCCCCGGCTCACTCACGCTGATCTCCACAGGGCTGATCCTCTGGCTCTCTCCAATCATTCTCATCCCATTCCCACCCCATTCCCATCAGGAATTCCCCCGGCTCACACTGATCTCCGCGGAGCTGATCCTCTGTCTCTCTCCCATCGTTCCCATCGCACTCCCATCCCATTCCCATTGGGAATTCCTCCAGCTCACTCACGCTGATCTCTGCAGGGCTGATCCTCCGTCTCTCTCCCATCCCATTCCCACCCCATTCCCATCGGGAATTCTCCCCCCGGCTCACTCACGCTGATCTCCGCGGGGCTGATCCTCCGGCTCTCTCCCATCATTCCCATCCCATTCCCATCCCTCTCTGCCATTCCCACCCCATTCCCACTCCATTCCCATCGGGAATTCCCCCCTGGCTCACGCTGATCTCCACGGGGCTGATCTGCCATCTCTCTCTCATCAGTCCCTCCCATTCCCACCCCATTCCCATTCCCATCCCATTCCCATCCCATTCCCATCGGGAATTCCCCCCGGCTCACGCTGATCTCCGCGGGGCTGATCCTCTGGCTCTCTCCCATCATTCCCATTCCATTGCCACCCATTCCCATCCCTCTCCACCATTCCCATCCCATTCCCATTGGGAATTCCCCCCGGCTCACGCTGATCTCCGCGAGGCTGATCCTCCATCTCTCTCCCATCATTCCCATCCCATTCCCATCCTATTCCCACCCCATTCCCATCAGGAATTCTCCATCTCCGCGGGGCTGATCCTCTGGCTCTCTCCCATCATTCCCACCCCATTCCCGTCAGGAATTACCCCCCGGCTCACTCACGCTGATCTCCGCGGGGCTGATCCTCTGTCTCTCTCCCATCATTCCCACCCCATTCCCATCGGGAATTCTCCCCCCGGC